GCAAACAAAATAATAACCACTTACAAACTAAACACATAAAACATCACAAACATAGAAATACTTCACATAAAAATGATTTTTACACACTTACAAAATATAAACCCATATAAGTTATATGGGTTTATTTTTTGTAAGTTTGTAATTACCTTTTATATATGAAGAGTGTTAAAGTTATATTATAACCTTAACACATATATATACATAATAACACACAAATATAAATAAATATATAAATTTAGAAAAATATATAAATTAAAAACTTTAAATACAACCTTACTTTTGTAATGTTTGTTTAAATACATATTTAGTAATAAATGTTTAACAACAACAGATTATTAAGATTTAGGAGTCCCTTGGTCAAAAATATATAAAGAGAAATATTAAAAGGCTAAGTATACTTATAAAACTACGTGTAAAATGTTAATCCAGATAATGAAATTTAACATTAAATCTCTCGACACTTCATCTTTTAATGAGTGGTGTAAATATATTTGGAGATTAACTTTTAGAGATTTGGCAAAACTTTGAACTTTGGTGTTTTAGAAATTTTATTTTAGGAAATGGTTATCAAGGTGCCAATTCAAGATTATAAGAATCATGGCCTAAAAATTATTTTAAGCAAGAAAAATTACAAGTATTACTAAAAAATTTAGATTTATGTTTGTGTTACAGTTGTACCAGAAAATCTTTTATAATAGACACGCACCAATATTTAAGAACTTATTTAAGGTTATATTATTTATGTATGTAATCAAATTACAAAAAAAATATATATATATATTTTCTAGTACACACCCACCCCACCCTTTTATGGGTCTGGGTGCATCTGAAAAGCAATTTTCCAGACACCCCTAGATAGATGTGAATTTAAAATTATTATTTTTACAAATATTTGGTCGGTATCTTTATAGGGAATAAAAAAATTCAGAATGGACGGACACAAAACCTGGCGGTCAACTTAGCGAACTGTGCAAAAATTTTGGTACTACCATTTGCTAAAAAGTTTTAAAGAAAAATTATAAAAAGTAATTTCCTTTTGAAAAAAGCGATGTTTGCACACTCCCAATATAAGTTTGTAAACAAAAATTTAATTGGTTTGCATAAAAAGAAAAATGATACAAAAATTAAATTTACGGAATGGACTAAACATGAAGGTCTGCTTGAGGGTCGGGTTGCACTTGAAGGAAAACTTAAATATATTTATTTTGGTAATAGTACACTATAAATACAAGTGCTTTATGATCAAAACAAACAAAATACTATATATTTATAAAAATTAAAACAACTATATTACACTATATACATAAGCTTGCTACAAGCATGAGATAAAATAACTATATATAAAACTAAATTTTGAAAGTATGAACGTACACACTATACAAACAATTTCTAATATAAGTAAAAGTGGAATATTGGTATGCGATAACAACAAATAAAAACAACTAAATTTAAATAATGAAATAATGCAAGAGACTTTTTGCCAAATAATAATGCCATGACTACCTTATGCAGAGTACTACTATCCCAAACACCATAAATGCCACCATCACTACCTTATTGAATAAATTAAATATTTATTTGCAAATATAACTTGATTTTTCTTATTCAATTTTCATAATGACTCATTTTGTCTTATATTTTTTTGAACATGTTTATCAACAGTCATAAAGTCAGTTGTAGAATTATTTGACCATTTAGATTTTGGATATAACTATTGGTCGATCAATCTTTTTCATATTAGAAATTTAACGCGTTTAACTCATTTTCAATCTGTGCTTGTTCAGGTTTGACAGCATCAACGCTTAGATGAAAAGCTTTTTTCACTTCTTTTAGGGTCACAATTTCATCATTCAATTTATCTGCCTGTGATGCTAAAAAAAATAATTTGTAACTAAATATTTTAAAATACAAAAAAACAAAACAAAAATCAAAACAAAAAAAACAACAACAGTATTAGACTAGATTTTAAAACTAACTTTTAAAACTCACTTTTAAAAATGCTGACTCCTGTGCTTTAATAAATAAACAGTGAAAATTATTAAAAGTAGTTTTATGCACATGATTTTTCATGTTGTGAAAAATCATTTAAAAAAAAAAATAATAAAGTATCATTATCAACACACAATCACAAAAGAACTTTAATGTGTATATATATTTATTGCTAATTAAAAAAAGCCAGTGGATAGCCTACCGAAAGACGGTAGCGGAAAAATAAAAGTTATCCTACCGAAATTTTTATTTATTGTTTGAGAATACCACATGTCAAAATAAATTTTATTTTGTTATACCGTAAAATGACTTAGAATTAAAAAAAAACAAACAAAAAAATGTGAAAAATTAATTAGGATTTTTCATTAAATAATTAGACTGCCAGCCCATACCAAAACCCTCAGTCAATGCATGTACACTCAATTGCGCCCAGTGGCTGATTAAAACTTCTTCTCCAAAAACAAAAATAGCCCCGGGGGCCCGGGGCTATTTTTTATTTTGAAAGTTTTTTTATGGGTCAGAGCCTAAAACTAAGTAAAAAAAAATAAATAAAAGGATTTCTAAAATTTTCGGAAGCCCTTAAATTTGATAAGCTCCCCCTTGATCCGGGACTGCGCCAATCCCTAAATTAGTAAATGAATGGCAACTTCACTGCGTCTATCCCTAAATTTGTAAATGCATATACACTCCTCGCTGCTTATCTCTATATCAGTCAGTGTATGAACACTCTATTGCGTCTATAAATGCATGAACACTCATTGTGCTATCCCTAAATAATTTAGTCTAAAAATAAGCATATTAGAATAAAAAATATAAAACATTTTTTCTTGTAAAACAATTTTCATCTCAAAAATAATAAATGGAATTCGTACCCGGAGCGCCTAGACAAGGTACAACAACGCTATACATGACGCTACATAATCTTACAGTAATTTCATTTAAAAATAATTATATTTAGCTACTTTATTGTGACACAAATCTTTCGGTAGAATAATTTTCATTTTTCCGCTACCGGCAATCCACTGCTTTAAAAAAATATGCATGAGAGATTAGCAGTTCAATAAGAAAACTTGTTAATAACTTTCACTAACTGTAGTAATTTTTAATAAATTTTTCTAATTGTGTATATTGTTAATTTAGTAAGGAAATTACTAAAATTTTGTTGGATTAAATTTAGAAAATACTTTAAGACTTTGCCACAAATTATCTAAATGTAATTGTAGCTGTAACTATTCAATTCTAGAATTATTGATTAAAGGTACGTATGGTGTCATTTTGATTTATGGTTTACCAATTAAGAGTGAGTTTTTCTTTAGCCACATCTTTTAAAATTAAACACGCTAAGTAAACAATGCTGTAGGCGTACTGTACAAAATGTTTCAACCTGTTTGGGCTGCAATTTCTAAATCTTACTGTGTTACAAAATTTTTGTTCCACAAATAAATAAAATTCATTGAAGAATGACACAATGATGATGACTAAGCTTTAGTCAAAGACATAAAATAAGGTTAAGACTATAAATTTTGAAATGCTTTTAAAAGTGAATATGTGTTAGTTTGATATTAACTGGAAATAGTTAACTACATATAGATATAGATAAAATCTACACGTTAAGTTTTTTAATGATACTCTTGTTATTACTTTTTTTTTTTATAGTAATGTTTACGCAAGTTTTTTTAATTTTAATATAGTTTAAGATCTGAAATTTTATTATTATTTACTTACGTTTCAAGTGTTTTTTATTATCAACAGTTCAAAAAATGTAACCGATAAAACTTAACCCGAAGTAGAAGAAAAAGAGAAAGTCGCTAAAGATGATAATAATGTTAACGAAAATTATGTGAGCTAACAGTAGCGCTCATAATTTAAGTATATCAATACACGGTTTTCGAAATTCAAATTTTGTTATGCAAAATATACATCTAGAATGTACTGAACAAAAAATTTCGAGTAAACAAACAGATTATCGCAGTGAAACACAGGCAAAACATCAAATTAAAATGAGTAACAATGATGATTTAGTACTCCAAAAACAATCTATTGATGAATTTAAACTATTTAGTGTAATAGCATTAAAGTCTTTTTTATCCGTACGTAAAAAATCAACATCTGGATCATTTGATACTCTAGTGGCAAGGCAATATATTTTTCTTTACTGAATAAAGATATATATATATATATATTTATATATTATATAAAAATTATACGTTATATAAATTATATATAATGCATAATATATATATATATATATATATATATATATATATATATATATATATATATATATATATATGTATATATATATATATATATATATATATATATATATATACATATATACATACATATATATATATATATATTATATATATATATATATATATATATATATATATATATATATATATATATATATATATATATATATAAAATATGCATTATGTATAATTTATATAACATATAATTTATATATATATATAACTATATATATATATATATATATATATATATATATATATATATATATATATATATATATATATATATATATATATACATATATATATATATATATATATATATATATATATTTATATAATTTATATATATATATATAACTATATATATATAACTATATATATATATATATATATATATATATATATATATATATATATATATATATATATATATATATATATATATATTTATATGTATATATATATATAACTTATATATATATATAACTATATATATATAACTATATATATATATATATATATATATATATATATATATATATATATATATATATATATATATATATATATATATATATATATATATATATATATATATATATATATTATATATATATATATATATATATATATATATATATATATATATATATATATATATATATATATATATATATATATATATATATATATATATATATATATATATATATATATATATATATATATATTAGAGCTTTTGCTTCCTATGAAGAAGGATGCCTAGTAGACATTGAACTAGAACATAGGGAACGATACCTTTGGTTGAATACCAAAATAAGTTCAAACCGTATTCACTACCTGATCCTATGAATTTGAAAATTGGTTGGGTAGATAAGAAAAAAGGAATGAATTTATGGCCAAAATTATATTTTGTTGACATATCAAGATATTATTCAGATTTAATATCTAGAGACACCCTATGGCAACAACTTGGATGTGAATATAAAGAAGGCAAAGCCTATAGATATTATGCAAATGGCTTTATTGGAGAAGTTTTTATTAATCCACTCTTTGATGACTTGCCATACTGCTATTTAAAATCAAAGTGCTTACCATTGCAAAGAGTTAATTCAAATCTGTATGATGTATGGGCCATTGTGAAGAAAAATTCTGGCAAAATAATTTCTTGTTATTGAAAGTGCACTGCTGGTTTACTAGGTAATAACACTGTGTTGTAAGTAAAACAAACTAGATTTTAAATTTTGGCTTTTTTGTTAAAATTAGTATAGAAGAAAAGTAATATAAATATAATGTCTAAACATTCTTTTCTTAACAATATAAATATAATTAAGTAATTTCACACCATAAAATATCATTTTTATCAAGTTATACAATTTGCTGTTTTTGAGTGTATTTGTTTTTTAGGAAGCTGCAATCATGTTGCAGGGATGTTGTTTTGAATAGAGGCAGCAGTACTATTGGGCATCACAAATCCTACATGCACAGAAAAACTTGCTGTTTGGAATGTACCATCAAAGAAAAAGTGCATTAAACCTGATAAATTGTCAAACTTTATCTTTACCCAAAGTCGATATAGCAAATCTTTACCCAAAGTCGATATATCTTTACCCAAAGTCGATATATATAAAAATCTATACAAACCATGAAAGCAACACTAGAATCATATTTGAAACGTAAACTTGATTACACAACTACTAATAAACATAGCGCTAAATATGTTGCAGATAGTAAAGCAATACGTACAGAATTTTTCGAAAAGGTCAAAAATCTTATCCCAAACAGTGCTTTTGTCAAAATGGAAGAAAGTAAAAAGAACCTTCCAGTTAATCAAAAATCAACAATTAATAGTCTAACAATTCAAGCTTTAGTGGTTAGATTTAACTCAGATTTAGTTGATGAGTTTATTTCATCAACTCAATTAAGCGACGAAGATATTAAAATAATTTTTAACAACACAAAAGCACAAAGTGAGTCTATGCTATGGTTTGAACAAAGAAGTGGAAAAATAACAGCATCAAAAGTTAAACGTGTTTATACTGCTATGAACACTGCACTTAAATATAACACTGAGCCATTTAATCATATTTCAGAAGTACTTTGGAAAGAAACAGTTGTTCAAACATGGCAGATGAAACATGACATATCCTCAGAAAAACATGCTAAAATTAAATACAAAAATATTGTAAAATCTCATCACGAAAATATATTGTTTATAGGACCTGGGATAAATGTTTCTAGAACACATGTATTTCTGAGTGTTACTCCAGACATAGAAATTAACTGCAGTTGTCATGGTCCTGGTGTTGTAGAGATTAAATGTCCACCCTCTATTGGCGTGTCTCCTTCTGACATAAATTATAAACACTTGAAAAAAATGAATGATAAAGTTATGCTAAAAAGGAAAAGCGAATATTTTTTTCAAGTGCAATGTCAAATGGCTGTAAAAGAAGTTGTTTATGCAGATTTTTTTTTTTTCACTCTCCATGGTTACCATTTAGAACGGATTTAATTTGACAGTATATTTTGGGACGACGTTTTACATAAAGTAACACTTTTTTGGAAAACTTTTTTTTTTTCTGAGCTACAAATAGAAAAAGTTCCGAAAAAAGAAACGTGTTTAAATGATGTTGTCAATTCAACAGATCAAAAAATAATGAGGTTTGTGATAACTATGATTAATGTCTAACTATTGTTTTAGAAGATTAAATTATTTATATATTTTTATAGCTGTATTAATAGATTTTTTTTGGCTACTTTAAAAGCAAAATAAGTTTTTTTAGTCAATGAATTTAAAAAATATATATCAATATAGCGTTAATGCACATTCTTTCAAAATTAGTTATTAGAATAAGGGTTAATCAGAATAAGGGTTAATCAGAATAAGGGTTAATCAGAATAAGGGTTAATCAGAATATTATTAAAGAGGTCGGAAAAATAAAAATCAATAAGCGTTCCTTTCTGTTTATGAGGTAACTTATTTAACTTAAGTACATATTTTTAATATGCGAGTTTAAATTTTTTTTTAATATTGTTGGCCTTCCTTTGTGTTACAACCCTCTCTCAACTCTTTAACTCTTTAACACAAACCTTTACTTAACTCAACTCTTTAACACAAACCTTGACAGTCAAAGCCGCTGCGCGGAGAAACTAAGTTGAGCGCCGTACTTCCATGGACGTGGTGGAGCCTCTCGCTTACAAAGCGAGCGCTCTTACTACTACACCACTTTTATTTTCAACGGGTGAAGTGCAGAAATAAACTGCGGAAATATGGTTAGGAGCTTCAGTCCATACACCAGCTGATTTAGGAAAAACTATAATGCAATTTAGTGCTGCTATGTGCGATATAGTGTTGCTATATCGACTAGGGGTTTAAATTAGTGTTGAGAAAAGCGCAGTGATATTGTTGCGCATACCTATTCTGTTCTAAATTATTCAACATAAACGCCTTAATGTGATTTCACTTCGTTTTACTTAGTTTTTGTATCATATATCATATGACAAGCATTAGATACCCGGCGAGGTTCTTTTCCTTAGAGCTCTGCGATAAAACCGTTAAGACTTCTTGGAGCTGTTAAATAATTAGAAAAACACTTAACAAATCATTGCAGTAATGCATATATGGTCAGAGCTGATTTTAAGATATTTTATCCGATATCCTGAGTGGGAAATGAAATAATATGTAGTCAGCAAGTAGAAGACAGATATTCAAGACATATAATCATGAATATACTTAGATAAGGTAAATTATTGCAAAATGGATCCATCACGTGAAAATTTTAGCAACGAAAAATAAATTTCTTGTAAATATTTTTAAATTTCATATAAAATAATTGGTTATATGCAAACGCTGCCGTATTTAAAATTTGATTGCAAAAAAACATCTATAAATTTCCGGAAACATAAAAGAAATTCCGAAATACCGGGAATTCACGGAAGAAACTAATCTATGGTTATACCTTTAATTTTCGGGGTCTTAATTAGCCTTCCTAGTCTAGTAATTTTGATCAACCCCAACCCATCCACCTGTTATTTTATATAGTAAAGCATATAGTGACTTATAAATCATTATTATAAATATATGAACTTATAATAAGGGATTTAGAGTAACTGGATATAAATGAACTTTTAAAGTTATAAATCAAGTATTAACTGAACCAAAATTTTCTTAATTATAAGCTTCTTTTTATCGAGATTTGTGGATTTTGTATGAAATATGATGGAAAAATTGAGTTAAGGCCATTTTTGGAAAAAAATTAAATAGACTAGTTAAACCCAATAAGCAATATTATTCTAAAGACTAAAAAGTGATGTTCTTTAGATCTTGTATTAGTGGTTGTAAATAATTTTTAAAATGTATTTGAAATTAAGAAACGTTTCTCAAATCAATAGGAAAGCATGACACACAAAAAACTTTAAAGTATAAAACGCTTGTTTTGACATAATACGCTGACAAAATCATTTGAATTCTAATTTTTTAAATTTGAATAAATTATAAACTGCCTTAACTACACCGGAGAAGTAAAAATTATTAAACGGAGAGGGGGGTATTCATTAAGGACTCGACAGTACTCATTATTGTTTTATGAAATACAATTATAACTAAAATTAGGCATCAATAATACTTTCCAAAATAATTACAAACGTCGCTGCAAAACAAAACTTAAAAGTACACAGTTTTGATATATATATATATATATATATATATATATATATATATATATATATATATATATATATATATATATATATATATATATGTATATATATATATATATATATAAATATATATATAAATATATATATATATATATATATATATATATATATATTATATATATATATATATATACATATATATATATAATTTATATATATATATATATATATATATATATATATATATATATATATATATATATATATATGTATATATATATATATATATATATATATATATATATATATATATATATGTATATATATATATATATTTATATATATATATATATATATATATATATATATGTATATATATATATATATATATATATATATATATATATATATATATATATATATATATATATATATATATATATATATATAAGCCTGATGATTGCAATAGCATGACACTTAAAGTTGTGAAAATCTTGTAGTTTTATTTTTTCCATATATATTTATATGGAAAAAATAACGGAACGCGGTCTTCCACTTTTGGAAGTTATCTGCTGCCAACTTCGCCGTAGAACGATATTTGGAACATAGTCTTGTTACGGTACATTTTTTCACGCGATATTTATCACAAATACTTTTTTGTGACATTCCACTTACGTAATCGCCATTATTTTTTTTAATTAGTTCCAATCCAAGACTGTCGGGAGCCATTTTGCTCTTGAAGTTATAAAAATAATAAAAATAAACAATCACGCTTCTCAAGGCTTACCGTGTTACATTTACCTTGTGATGATACAATAATGCTCTGTGGAACACAACGTCTCGGTTGGATGTGGACTGTATTGATGTAATGAAACACTTAGTGTATTTCACTTCTTGTATTGATGTTCTTTGATAAAACACTTTGATAAAACTCACTTCGATAAACTGTCTTGATAATACTGACTAATTGACTTCCATATACTGACTGAATTAAATGTCGGTTTACATGTCTCTTATATAGTAAAATAAACCTGTGTGAACCTCTTTTGGAATATTCCAGATGCTTTTTTTGGATGCTTCTGGATGCTTCTGATAGTTTCTGGATACTTCTGGATGCTTCCAGATGTTTCTTCTGGAAACTTCTGGATACTTCCTTTAATTATTAAAAAACTTCCGTGACGTTGAGACGGACCAGACCTAAGAAAATGAAACAAACCAAAAAAGATGAACTTGTTTTGTCCACTGCAAAATGGCACTTTTCAACGAAATTCTGCCTGTGTGTTGTCACCTGTCAGCTGATTGCTCATGTCATGGCATGCTATGACTCTAGACCCCTGAACTGTTTGCTGTGGTAGAATAGTTCGTTTCGTTTTTAAGACATGTAAAATTAGGAGCACTTATTAGCATTGTTCGATGTTGGTTGCAAATGTTTTGTTCAATACTGTGCTTGTATGGCAAGTAATATATTTTAAGTACCAACAATTCCCAGAATCACTATGAGACAGACCTACAGAAATAACGTACCTGCAGATAGTCTCCATGAATATAATAAAAAAGCTGGATTATACCTTTTCTCAATACCATTATTTCAGAAATCAAAATACGATTCCAATAGACATATTGCATTGCTGATAAGGTTTTATGCTTGGTTTCCTCGACAATTTGCAGTGAGGAGATAACTGCTTTCCAGGAGTTAGTTGAAATGTATAAAAGTGATCTTCCAAACTTGAAAGCTGTAGCTGAAGAAATCATGTTTTAAAAAAGAAAATTAGTATGTTATTAAACCTGAAGATAGGCCTAATACTCTAGCTAAAGCCATTAAATCTTGTGAAGAAAATCAATATTCTAATCTCTTTGAGCTTCTAATGATCGGATGTACACTACCCGTAATGTCCGCAGAATGTAAACGCAGCTTTTCAGCAATGCAAAGATTAAGAACATAGTTGAAAGTGAGTAAAAGCCAAAAAGACTGCATATAAACTTGGCTCATTAGCCATTAGTCATGAATATCCACTTCAATGAAATTGTTGATTATAAACGAGTCTCAAAATTATTTTTTACTTTACATCCTAGAAAGTTGTATGAAAAAAGTTTAGTTTTTGAATAAAATTTTAAATCATTTATCAAAGTATTATTAATCTTTGTATCGATACCCATTTTTTAACAAGGAGCTTGCTTATACGCCTATGCAGTATAAAAAAAGAAAAATTATTCGGAGAACGACAAATTTGTTTATATAAACATTGTTTACACAAATATATCTATGTTTCACAAAAAATTTATTTAGTAAATTTAGTAAGAAATTTGTTTGGTGTTTTAAAACTGCCTTTTTTTTTTCAAAAACGACCTCCCTAAAAAATTTCCCGGTATGGCCCTAATTGTATTTCTTTTAAAAACAGAGATTTTAAAAAGAAATACAAATAAGGCGAGTTTACAACTATATGTCAAAATTAGAGTTATAGTATATAGTATATATAGAATATAGTAGTTTTAAAACAGTAATTATAAAACTACTATATAACTCTAATTTTGAGATATAGTTGTAAACTGGAATTTGAGATCCACTTAAAAGCTGTCTTTCTAATTATTGTATTGACACTTAAGTTAGGCGTCATGTTGTCTATCAAGCTGATTACTTTAAGAAAAAAAACAGTTTTTTAAATAAAGTGAATTTCAATATCTTTATAACTTTTAACTTTTTTAAATATAAAAACAGACAAATGAAAAATGTTTAAACTTTATTTTTGATTCAAAAAAGTAGTATTAAGCAATGTATTTATAACTCTAATTTAATGTTAGAGTTAATAATATTTGCCTATTTTTTAAAAAAATACTTTTTTGCGGACGTTTTGGATAAAGTTTTGGTAAATATTCGAGTTTCTTTAGTGGGAGCCAAAATGACCGACGTTTGTATACTAGAGCTATGACTTTTTGACTTTTTAAAAACAAATTAATTTCCTGTGTTGAACTTTTATTAGGAAACATTAAAAACATGTTCAATTCCTCTCGGTTTAAAAAAATGGTCACCCTGCAATTCAAATTACGTTTCGTCATCTATATAATCTTGTTA